TAGCTTTGGTACCTGTCCTGGAACTAGCTATTGTAGACTGGCCTTGAACTCACAGAGACCCAACTGCTTCTGCCTCCTGAGTGCTGGGATTAAAGGTAAAAAATTAATTTTTAAAAAAGGAGCGAGAGCTGGATGTGGTGACACACACCTTTAGTCCCAGCACCCTGGAGACAGGTGCATCTCTAAATTCAAGGTCAGCCTGGTCTACAGAGTGTATTCTAGGACTACACAGAGAAACCATCTTGAAAAAGAACAAAAAAAAAAAAAGAGACATAGACAGAAAGATAGACAAAGAGAGAGAGAGAGAGAGAGAGAGAGAGAGAGAGAGAGAGAGAGAGAGAGAGAGAGAGAGAGAGAGAGAAACAGATGGGAGAGAGAAAACTGAGCCAGAACAGAACTTGTTTCAACTCCTGAGATGACATAGATTGTCATAAAAATCTGAGGCCAGCCCTCCCTGCAGAGTGATCCTGTCTCAAAACCACAAAGTAGAACCCCAAGACAACAAAAGAGCAGGGATAGGATGTAGCTCAGTTGATACTTGACTAGGATGCATCCCCCAGAGAGGATCAGGAAGTAGAGGCAGAACAGAAGCTTCCAGGTGTATATGGCTAGAAAGCAAATCCCAGGCTATCCTGGGCTTCATGAGAATCTGTTTGAAATTAATACATAAAAACAAACTGTTATGACACCATGTCCAGAAAGCCAGGTTGAAGGGAGCTTCAGCTTTGGTTTGTGGCTGTCAAGGCCTGCTTGCTTTCGGAGTGCTCCTGCAAGATTCCCCAGCTATTAGCAAGACAGTTGTGTTTCCTGAGGCACGTGAAGCAGTCTGACACAGGCACACAGTCAAGGTTCCCAGCACTGTCCTGGCTGGTTTACAACCTTGAGTGCACTGTGAAAACCAATCTCTTTAAGGCCGGGTATCAGGCAGGCATGTTTTGTACAGCCCAGATAACCACTAAGAGGCTGCCTGGACTGGCAGGAGCTTGTTAAGTTTGCTGCTGCTGTCATCATGGATAAACAGACTATTAGACAACACGGGGCTAGTGTGTGTGGGCAAAGTCATCCTGATGTGTCTGGGATAGAGTTTTAAAACCTTGAGGTTCAGAGAAAATGGGAAGCCGACCTGGACCGAGACCAACGAAAGGAGGGCAGACAGAAGCAGGTGGCCTGGACCAGGATGGACTGGAAGGTAACTCCTCAGCTTTGCTACTTCTTCCCAGGTGTGGAAGAGAGGACACCTGTCACCACTATTCCCCGTTAGGAGTAATGGGGCCTGGATTCCAGTTCTTCAGAAGGTAGTGCCATCCATTAGGTATAGAGGGGAAGTCAGCCCACAAAGGTCTCAAGGTTTAAGCTGAAATTTGATGTCAGGTTCTTTCCTACGGGTATGCTCTTAAAACTCTAAGGAGGCATCAGAACCAGAGTGGGTGTCTCACACCAAAGGACAGGGCCCTCCATGGGGTTGATCAGACAGGATGAGGACAGTGTCAGAAACTGCGATTGAACCAGTTCCTGGGTGATGTTCATTTGTTCATATTGCAGGTCCAGATTCCCGTTCCGGCAACCACAACAGATCATACTAGGCCTGTGTTCTGATGTCTGTCCAAGTCAAATGTGAATGCACCAAGAGCACCCTGCTGCAATTAACTAAAGGGAACAAAACCACTCTTCACCTCCAATTCTGGCTAGGCAGTGCCCCTTCCAGCACCTGTGGTAGGCCAGGTTTCTCCAGTGGTTTTCCTCCATTACTACCTCTGAGAAAAGGAAGTTAGTCTTTTCCCTTTGCATTCTGAGTAAAGTGCCAGGCAGATGCTGCATATCTGACAGCCTGCCATGCACCAAGTCAATTCAACAAACACGTGGGGGGTGGGATGTTGTCATCAGCGCCAAACAGTATAGTTTAACAACTACTTACACAGGTTTCATAAGACAGCTAGGAATGACAATACAGAGGAAGCTGTGCACAGCTGACATGCAAACACCAGGTTACACAGGGACTTTAGCACCTGCAGACAGGGGTCCTGGAAGCAACACCCGAGGGCAACTGTACTTACTGACAACTTGGTTAGGAGTCACTCCACATCTCAGCTTTTGGTTTACGCCAGGCCAGGCTGTGCTGGGTTGTCTTTGCCTTCCTATAAAGACTTAACTCCTTCCCATAGGAAAACTCTGGATACAACCACTCTGCCCAGTTCTGACTGGCTAGACTAGGGTGACTGGTCCTATGCAGTCAGGAACCAGCTGACGGGATTCTAGGAGCAAGTTGTGGTTTTCCACTCCTCAAATGGTCTCAAGGCACCTGAATTAGAATTCGTGTCATGGAGGCAGAAGGGCAGGAACTGCGGCATACAATAGCTCAATCTGGGCATTTCCCAGCTGCCTTCTTGGCTGCTACCACAGTTCATTTTGCACTGTGGAAGCTTTTGCTAAAATTGCCTCAGGAAACTAGAGGAGTGAGCTTTGTAAGTACAAAGGAGACTTGAGCGAATCCCACAAACATTGTCCTTTCAAAAGCTCAAGGAATGGAATCCAGGGAAACAGATCAGCAAGGCCAAGCTACCAGAGCAAAGCGGGGGAGGGGGTGTGAGGACAGTGAAGCCTGCCCAGGCAGGCAGCTGCAGCATGGGCGCTCAGAGCTCAGCCACCTCTGGCTGAGCTGGCAGGATTTTCAGCCACCCAGGAGCAAAGAGCCCACTGCCTTCCTGACAAAGACACCACTTGCATAACCGCCACAGGCCACAGGCCTTCCCCTTCCAGAGGCAGCCCCAAGGCCTGGTAGCAACCTTCAGGGAGATCAGAGCAAAGCTGCCCAGACAGGGGCTGCTGCAAAGTGAAGGAGGGGACAGCAGAGGCCAAGTCTTTGATGAGAAGTACTTTCAATGTCTCCAACGGCCACATGGAGAGTGGCTCACAGCAGTTTACAGCCTCCTTTCTTCCCTGAACCACTCTTAGTTGTGCTTTTCTGTTGTACTATGCCGTGTGTTTTAACAAGGAAGCTCCGGGGAGAGCATTCAGGTAGGCAACTGTCTGCTCTACCAAGTTTTAAAATTAAGCTGATTAGTGGAAGACATTTTTGTTGTTGTTACACACAGTATTTAGCATTGGTTGTTTGGTAAAAAACAGGTATGTAGAACAACAGATGTTTTCTTCAGATGGGCCTCATACACCTTAAACTCTAAGCTACATAGACAGGGGGACTTTGCCTCCACCTCTGCAGTGCTAAGACCACAGGCGCACACCACACCTGGCCTTATCAGGAGCTGGAGGTTGGAATTTGGGGCCTAACACAGGGTACACAGACACTGTCAACTAATCTACATTAAGTCCCAAGAAGTAAGTTTTGCTTTGTTGAAGATTTAATTGATGCACATAACTGTTCTGCCTGTATGTGCACTGTGGAGGTCACAACTGAGTTCTGGGAACTGGAATTCCAGGCAGCTGTGAGTTGCCATGCAACAGAAACATCACTAGAGAGATCAATGTGGTCAGCATGCCAGACCTGGGTTTTCTAATGGTTTTCATCCTAAAGTTTGTTTCTGAAAGTCCACCAACATGCAACCATCGCACTAGAAAATGAGATGACATAGCACATTTTATAGAAGAAACGCCCTATCTCCTATAAACATTCTCAGAACTGTTTTGTTGTTGTTTTTTGGAAGAGGCCTTAGACTGTAGAGATGGCTCAGCAGATGAAAATCCTTGCCTTCGCTGGGCAGTGGTGACAAAAGCCTTTAATCCCAGCACTGGGGAAGTAGAGGGAGAAGGATCTTTGAGTTCAAGGCTAGCCTAGTCTACAGAGCCAGTTCCAGGGCAGGCTCCAAAGCTAGAGAAACCCAGTCTCAAATCCCCTCCCCCTGAAAGAAAATGCTTGAACGGAAACCCACGTGAAGGTGAAGGAAGAGACTAAGAGACAAAGCCTTGCTGCAGAATCCTATCCGGCCTCAAGTCTTCAGAGTCCAGGGATTGTGGGTGGGCACATGTATGGTTGAATTTTTAAAATAGATTTATTATGTATACAATATTCTGCCTCCATATATGCTTGCATGCCAGAAGAGGGTACCAGATCTCATTATGGATGGCTGAGTCACCATGTGGTTGCTGGGAATTGAACTCAGGACCTCTGCAAGAGCACCTTAACCTTTGAGCCATCTCTCCAGCCCATATGGCTGAATTTTTATGAAATGAGGATTACTTACAAATCTTGCAAGAATAAAAACAGGAGCTTTGGTCTAAGACTAAAGCTGATGAAAGAACCTAGCTACTTCACCAAAACGCTTTCCAGGAACTAGAAATAAAAACAATTGGGCAGAGGGACTTCTGTGAGTTCAAGGACAGCCTGGTCTGCAGAGCAAGTTCCAGGACAGGCTACAAAGCTACAGAGAAACCTGTCTCAAAAAAAAAAAAAAAAAACCCTCCCCCCCAAAAACCAAAATTGGGTTAGCATTAGCTTCCTTAGGCTTGCAGCTCCCTCCTCTGCACACTTGGATACCAGCACCAGCCATGTACTGTAGCTGGGCTAAGGCCTAAGGTGAGCACCACAGACTAGCTGTTAAGGGTTTTCTCCGGGCTATGCCTAAGACTGAGGCCAGTTTTATTACTGTCTAAGCACTTAGACTGCATCTAAGGTTGCACCATTGTGAAAACTCTTGGCATCTAATTGAGATTAAAGTGGATGCTTTCAGGTGGTAGCACTGTGGTCTAGCTCAAAAACTGCTGGGAAAACAGGAGTCTGCCCTAAGGATAAAAGTGACACATGAAAACACACCAGGCGCACGCACACACATCAAAGCCTAATTTAACAATGCACTTTATACAAAATAACCAGTTCATATGGAAATAAATCTACAGATCTCCAAAGATCAAAAAAGCTTTTTAAAAAAGTTCTTTCAAAAAATTATCTGACACACAATATCAAACTAACTACTGAGGTAATTGTCGCTCTCAATGAAACAGGAAACCAGCAGACCATGACAAAATATATACAATATAAAAATAAATACCATTCCCTTTCCAGTACCGGCCAGGACAGTTCATAGGGCATTCACTTTCACAGCAGATGAATGTCTTATACTGTGTGCAGGCTGGAGGAGCATGGCTGGGGGCCCCCAGGAGCTGTCCACAAGTCAAGTGAGAAGTAGCCCCTGCTTAGAAAATGAAGGGACCAAGAGGTTGCAGAATGAGGTGGAGTGAGGCAGCATTTCAATAAATTACTCAATATAGCTGTCCTCACTGAACCCCAAGGGGAGAGGATGAGATAAGAGCAGCCAACTGAAGTTTAGACAGTAGAAGGCTCAATGTCCTACCTCACCCAAGTTATGTTTAACTAACAGGCAGAGAGGGATAAAGGGCAAAGCTGGTGTCAGTCTGAGAGTGTGGGACACAGCCTATCTTCTCATCAGAAAGGTCCTGAGGCTACTGCCTTCTCACCAAGTCTCAATCACGCCCATCACATTTGTACTTTAGGGTGTGTGTGTGTGTGTGTGTGTGTGATATGGTCTCCATAACTTTGGCTGGCCTGGAGCTAGACCAAGCAGGCCTTTCATTCTCTTTCTCTGCCTGCCACACTTGGCTCACATTTGTACTAAATCAGTGTTGTAAATTCATGGGGGAAATGCCGCTGCATGGTGCACCAAAACGTCAAGTATCTTTGCCATAGTTGTTGACAAGAACTACCCACATTCCAGAAACCCTCAGAACTGAACACTCACTGATACACAGAAGCAAACTTCACAACAGGATTATTATATAGGTATATAGGGAATCTGGCCAAGAAGTAACGAATTCTAGAAGAGCAAATAAGGTTATCTAAAACACTGAGGATATTGACACTTGTCTAGGACTTTGAATTAAGCCTTCCCATGGAATTTCAATGTGCGTGTGTTATTAGAAACTCAAGATAGGGCCTCGTGCATACTGCACAAGAGCTCCAACATTGAGCTATATTCCAACCCACTTTTTCACTTCTGAGACAGCATCTTATTAAGTTGCCTAGGCAAGCTTGAACTTGTGATCCTCCTGCCCCAGCCTTTCAATAGTTGGGATTACAGATCCATGCCACCAGACCTGCATTAGGTTTGTTTTATTTTGTAGTTCTGCGGATTGAACATATGGCCCTGCACATGCTAGGCAAGTGCTCTACCACAGACCTACATCCCCTCTCCTCCAAATTAGGGCTTCAGAGCAGCATATCATTTATAAATTTGAACATTCATTAAAAGAAAAAGTTTGACCAAGTGCTATGGCTTGAAGTCTTGTTGGTGGCAAACATGGTGAGAACTATTGGGATTATCTGTGTGTTTAAGGCTGCATTTAATATGCATACTTTTTGATGCCAGGAGACGTTAACACACACAACCATACAGCAAACTAATGCCACTGGACAATAACACCAACTGGGCAGTCAAGAGGAAGGCTAGAGAAATTGACATTTAAAGCTGCAATCCTATTGAGCCGAGGGGTGGAGACTACAGGTCTTAAAGTTTTCCATAGACAGTTTCATATAAGCACTAGCATGAAGTTTATCTTTTGAGAGCAGCTGGCCTGGGGCCTGGGCTGAGCGTGAACTGAAGTGCAGTTCACAGTCAGGTGTGCTACCAGTTGACCAAAAACCAATCTGGCTCAGAAGGCAGAGTGGTTGTCTCTTTAATGAGATGGAAAGTTACAAGAATTAGAACCCTGCATATTTAGTCCTAATCTCCACACTTTTTAGTCAAGAGCTCCTGATATTTTTTTTTTTTTCAAAGAATCAGGTTAGTTAACTTCTTGTTGCCTGCAAGATGTAAGGCTCTCAGCAGCTACTCAGCACCACGCCCTCCTGTCTGCTGCCATGCTCTCTGTCATGATAATGGACTGAATCTCTGAAGCTGTTATCAGCATGAGGTGCGGTCCAGTTTTCACTAGTGGTGCTTGCTACGTCTCTATAATGGGAGTTAAGATCCCTGGACTTCAATACCCCTCAAACCAAAAAGAGAACAACCTTTGGAAACCCGAGTACAAACAAACCTACATCTCAAAGAAAAGTCTCAATATTTGGTAAAAGTTTCTTCCATGTATATGGTGGGAGACCCTCATACCTGGCCTCACATCGTGGCAGCCTTGGTGTGGCTAATAGACTGCATCAAGTTGTTTTTGGACTACACCATCATATGCTATGAACTTTTATGGTTTGTGGTGATAGCTTTGAAGAGAAGAACGCAGAGCTGCAGTCGGAGCTGTAGATACGTCCAAGCTGGTTTCATTAGCAGCAGGAAACAAAGCCTAAATGAACTGATTGCAAGACTGGAGTAAGAAAGAACTAAAGAACCAAATCATCTGACATCACTGAGGAAACGGAAAACTTCCTTGCAAGTAGATGCTCAAATATAAAGCATACATGAACAGATCTGAGCTTAATCCATCCAGTCTAGACCAGAAACTGACTGGTCCTGATGAAGAAATTGGTAGACTAGAACTAGAATGGGAAACAGTAAGAAAGGAGAATGCTTGACTACAGAATATTGCTGATAACCAAAAGTACTCCTCAGTTGCAGACAGAGAAAATAAGACATGAAAAAAATGAACTGTAGCAGACCACTAATAAATTATCTAAAGACCTAGAGGCTAAACAACGACAAATATGGATTGAGGAATAACAATATGCCAGAGGCAAAGAAACAATTGAAGTACAGTTGGCAGAATACCACAAAGCTGGCTAGAAAATTAAAGCTTATTCCCAAAGGTGCTGAGAATTCCAAAGGTTATGACTTTGAAAATTAAATTTAATCTTGAAGCTGGTGTCAAATGCCTTGTCAAATACAGGGATCAAGTGTAAGTACCTCTCCAAGAACTCTTGAATAAAACCAAAGAAATTAATAAAGCTCTAAATAAAAAGATTGGTCTGGAGGATGCTTTAAAACAACTGAACACCATAAAGACAGAGCAAAAGTGTGAGGATGCTGAAGAAGAGGGTGGTGAGCGAGGGCCTCAGTGAAGCCATGGACAGTTATGGGCTGTCCAGGTGGAATACCAACTAGTTGTACTAACCTCAACTCAAGAAAGAAAAGGGAGAAATAGCTAACAGTATCTTTTAGAGCTGATGTACCGACACATGTAGGTCTTTGGAAAAACAGATTGCTAAAACAGAGAATATGAAAGAATGCATGTCTGATATTGGGAAAAATCAAGAAGACTGTAGAGAAGTGGAGTAACGCTGCTGCTCTAGTTAAGGCTCCTGGTGAATGAAGATAGAGTAACGGTGACTACCTTGTATCTTATAGACACAACATTAGCCCAGAACTATGCTAACTTGGTAGATTAACTTTTCAGGTGTAACAGACCAGTTATTAGAGTACATTAGTAAAGAAACAAACAAAAAAATCCCACAGGGCTGGAGTTCGGGGAGACATATCTACCCATAAACCTTCTAAAAGGCTCTACTTTTCTTTCTTAATTTTTTTATCTCTTTTAGATCCTAAGGTTTCTAAGTTATGAATAAATCTGATAAAGGTTTAAGTCTAACACTAAATCAAAGAATGCTTCCAATTATGCACAGCGATGTTCTCCTGGGGACTAGAGTCAGCATACTGACAAGGTCACAGTAACCAACGGATACGAGTCCTCGCCAAGAGTGGACCTTTTAAGACACCCTTACATACTACTTTCTAATTATTACATCTTGCAGAATCAGCATTTCCCACCGAAGACTCTAACTGAGATTATTAGCATCTGCTAAATACACGTAAAAGAGAAGAGCTGGAAGAAAAGTGAAAACAAAAGCTCTTGTCCGGCTCAAGTGGGTGAGGGTGATGGGCTCACAGAAGAGCAGCATTGTATTGTTCCGGCTGCTCCAAGGTACCTAGCATTTAAAGACCAATAAAGTTGGGAACTTATAGGACTAGAAACTACCAAATTCCCACAAAGGACACAACAGGCTCTTCTCACAGTGTTAGGACTTAATAAATACAGTAGTTCCATCTTCTATTTAATTTCTTAATAAGCCAAGGGATAAAGGAACTCACCAATTCCTTGTTCCCCAATATTGTTCACAGCATTGCTTTAGAAACAGGAAGAGGTGAGGATGCACTCAGCTTAGTGACCTCTAGTTTTAGCACCTTGAAAGAGGTCTGATGGTTGCAGCATTCCTAGTGAAGAAGTTTCAAGCCTCTGCTATAGTGGCAGACACAGAAGCAGCAGTAGGACCAAGCTGGCTCTTATTAGCTCAAAAGCAGACCAGAGCCACCCAACGAATCTGATTTCTTTACTCTTCTAATTCTAAACTCAAGCATGTAGGTGTTGGGCCTCTGAATCAGTTGACTATAAAACACCAACTACAACAAGCTTGTTGGAAAGAAAACTGCATGTATGTATGTGCTGTACTTGGAGACACTGTGTGGGTCAGCACCACCAGCAGGTTAGTAACCAGTATGTCTATCAGCGATGTTCAAGGGTCCAGTCATCTCTGTAATTTGGATGTTTCCAATTTCCTTCCCTTCCCTCCTCACATATTTGGCAGACTATTCTACATTTACTGGGAATGCTGGGACTTGAGAAAAATCTTCCATTGACCCCACCCACACCTAAACTTCTAAGAATCTGGGCGGATTAATATTTATAAAATATAGAGATCGCCATACCCCAAAGCATACTGTAAAATTATATTCTTTTAAAGAGACTTGCAACTCCAGGGCATTTCCCTTGGTTTATTCTGTGTGGGGTATTCAAAATTTTAAACATAGGTCCTAACTTTGGTGATATCTCAGCTAAAATAAAATACAGAAGGCTAAAGCAGAGAGAATCCAGTGTAATTCACTTCTAAATCCATAGTAACGTAATTTAATACTGTAAAATTGTTTCCTATCACAGACACAACAAATAATTTCCAAGAACTAGCCCTTGACAGCTACTTTAAATCAACATGATCGAGTCATAGTACTACGATTCTCTTAAAATGAATAAAAACTATACATACTGAAATAGACCTAAATTAAAATTTAAATCTATAGGATATACTTTCCTTATTCAAACCTGTGCAATATCTTTATTGAGACTAACATATATAACAAACCTGAGTAGTCACTTTCACAAAACACAGTTTGTGCTAGAAAGCGTGTGATGCCCTCTAGACCACTGGC